ATTTACAGGGTATTTAAATTAAAACTGAAATTGTATGTGAAATAAAGTATTTCATTATGCTCGTAATTTGAATTGTATGCATCGACGGGGCCAACAAATTTGCACGCATTTTAGTCGCATTCGGTGGCTGCTTTAAGTGGTTTTTCTGCCAGCCACGCCCACGCCCAGCAAGCAACATTCAATGATAGACGTTTGCCCCGCACTCGCGAGTTGGTCGCGTTTTGAGTCAAGTCGCCGTCAAATTGGCTGAGCGAAAATCTGTATTAGTGCTGGTTGGCAAAGCTCGCACAAAAATGTCCTCGAGCAATGGCTAAAAAGGACATTTGCAAAATGTGCTGCCAGCTGAGATTCGGTAGCTCCTCCACTAGCCAGCGTAGCAACAAATTTTCATTCTTGACAATCTAATTAGCTTACAGCAATTAACGGACAAGTATATGAGGAGTGTGCCAAAAAATTAATTGAAATTAATTAAACTCGTATTAAAACAAAGCTTTTTTTTTATATTAATAAAACTATTGGGTAGACAAGTTTATATATAAGAATATAAAAAATGAAGTTTAAGTTATGCTAAATATAAAACCTTCCCGGATTTTAACATATTTTATTGGTGAATGAACAGCTTATCCGATGTTGCCTGAAGCTAATATACCCTTTAGTCACATATTTTTAGTTAAGCTCGTTAGGCACTTCCAACATAACTTAATGATTTTTACAGTTCAGACTTTCTGCATATTAATTGTAAGTCCATTCGAAACTATTCAAGTCTGCTATGCGCGAAAATGCCAAATGAAGTGAACGAAAGTGATTCATTCAAATATTCTCAAAGTAGGCATTACGTATGTTGCCATGGCACAACAATTCGTAGCTGTATTCTAAACAGATTATATTTGAAAACGAACTCGATGAGTTCGCATCCGATTCCAATTTTCCAAATCGAAGAGAAATTCATTTCATGCGTGAATCTGTTTGAGCAAATACAAATTTCTAGTTTATTTCGCATCCAAAATGTTGAAGCCAAATTTTCTTTTTGTTTTGGCTGTCGGATGCCTGATCGGCGCCCAGCTAAACTGTTCTACAGCTCTTCCACGTGGCGATAGGGCACCTAAAGTTCTGGTTGCCGAAAAAAAATCAGCCGATAAGACTGTAATGAGTTTATTTGGGAATAAAAACCAAGGCCATGCGCCACACAGGGATGACATCGTCAATAAGGCGAAAGTCGGTACGCAGGCCCCAAAGGTGAGCGTAACAACGGAGAGCGTAGCGCAGGCTACGACTACCAGTCCTGGTACCGGTCCTGGTACAGGCGTTAGACCAAGTCAAGGCGGTGCTAGCGGTGGGGTCCTGGGATTCAGTGAAGGTAAACTCAATCGGGATGGTATCGAGAGGCAAGACGATGGTGATGGTGATGGTGATGGTGCCGGAGGGGATGGTGATGGTGCTGGAGGGGATGGTGCTGGTACTGGAGGGGATGGTGCTCGTACTGGAGGGGATGGTGCTGGTACTGGAGGAAATGGTGCTGGTGCTGGAGGAACTGATACTGGTACTGGAGGAAATGGTGCTGGTGCTGGTGCTGG